TAAAATAATCTATGAAATATAATACTGGTAATACACTATATAGAAAATGCAAAATGAGTAATAAAATATCATTATATTTAAAAAAAGAATATTAAATTCTAAGTAATATACCAACAATAGTAGTAGGCTCTAACTTAAAATACAGATTAGTAATATTTGGCAAAATAAATAAGACTTACTAACAATAAAATATTAAATTAGCTACAAAGTTTTGGCTTGAGATATAGATAGTAGAAAAGCTATTTGTATTAATAACTATAAATATACCAAGTTAAGAACTTATAAAAAATAAATAATTTGATAAGACCAAATTAGAAGTTATAACTAGATATAATAAGATATAGAAGAAATATAGTAAATACTGAAAATAGCTAGTTAAGAAATAAAAAGTTAGATGATATATGTGTAAAGTATAAACTACTTTAATAGATTTAGATTGTAGATAAATTAGTTTAAAGCTTCTATAGTACAGTTATTAAATGTACTTGTAAAAATATGTCTAATAAAAACCAAAAAACATTACCTTAAATATTAAAAAAAACTCTACTGGTTTAATATATTTTTTAGATGCTAAATAAAGTTTACATAATATATAAAATTAAAATTAATTTATTCTATAAAACTTTATTAATAAAATTCTATAGAATTTTATAATTCTCAAAATTTTACTAATTAATTCTAACTCCATATATCAAGTAAACTTGTTTAATACCAAAACATACATATAAATATATTTGAATTTAAGCTAGTTTGCAAACTTCAGACCAAACTAGACCCTAAGAGTATCCTAGGAGTATTGCTACAAAATATCTATAAAAAAACATTTTATATAAAGAATATATTTTTCAAATTTTATATTTTTAAAAAAAATTTTGAGAACATATAATTTGTACAAATTAAAAGTGATGTTCTTATAATAACATGAGAACATAAGATTTCCAACACTGGTCTAAGCAGCGTAGTAGCGGTAGTAGTAGGACCTTATATAATCGTTTTAATTTTGTGAAACTACCTACTTCCCAAGAAAGGGACCGTTTAAAGCCTGGCACCTTACAAAACTACCCGATATATGTCCTGAATTATTCCGAACAAACCGACAAAGACAAAAACATGAAAATATCTATCTAAAAGGTCTTGATGCACTAAGTAAAAGTGTCGCAAATGCGATTTTACTATATATCTACTAACTTCCTAGCCTATGTCCTAATATTAATTAAAAGTCGAAAATTGGAAGGTGCCAGGCTTTAGACGTTCCTCTAAGAAAGTTGATCTGTGAGACTTGATTTCTTAAATAATTTCTTAAAAAAGCAAAAAAGCAACGCTAATTTTTCATAAAAGCAATTTTAACGTAGCACTAAAAGCAAACGAGTATTTCTGTGCGCTAACTAATAATAATTTTAATATGACTGGGTGAAACCCGCGTTGTAAATTAGTAAAATCCGCTACGTAGATCACGTTAGGGTGAAACCGCGTAGCGGATTTTACTAATTCACAGCGCGGGTTTCACCCTGTAGTATTTTAATTATCAATGTCGATATGTATTTTTCCTGAAAATAAAAAATACACAGATGTTTTTGGATTTTTAAAATGTACAAGATTCAAAAAAAAACCGTTAATATAAGCCAGTTTCTTAACGCTAATTCTGTAATTCAAATAATACATATTTTTTATGTTCGATTCATTATAAACCTGATAAAAACCAGGTAATATCTTTAAAAGAGATGGTACGACGGCTATCGTTATTTAATAAAATTATTAAACTAAGCATGAAAAATGAATTAACGTTAAATAAATTTCAAGTGCAATATTTCACTTAAAGATTTTGATGATCCAATTAAATAAAAAATACAATAGTAAAAATGATGGTTACATGCAAAAAAATAAAGTACTTGGTGAAGTTTCTGAGAAAACGATGTCTTGGTAATTCCTATCGAAGAATTATTAATTTATCGTAAATATGTCAAACTCAGTAATATATAGTTACATTATGTTTATTTGTCAGACTATTCAAATGTAATAAATGTAATCGGTTGAAATTCATGTTCTCAAGTACAACCAATTGGATAGCTAAGAATATCAATACAACTTACTCTCGTTATGTATAGTACTCTCGTTATAGCTATATAGTGAATACTCGATATAGTGAAGATAAAGAGTTTTGAATTACAGAATTATTAAAATTCAACTCGATAATGAAGTACATATAGTATTCTCTCGATATAAGCTATAATGAAGGTTTTTTTTTTTTTCAGCCCAACGACTTCACTATTACGAGAGTGAGTTATGCTCAAAGGATCCAAACATACTGTTACTTACATGGCTGCTTGAAGATAGAAACTGAATAAAAAAAATTATTAAATTTCACTCCGTATGAGGTCAACTCACATCTAGCGCAAGGTCACATGGTAGAAAATACACTGTTTATCTTGCGTGAAAGACATCTTTATAAAACTGTGACCAAATTTTTACTATGTAATACTTCACAGAATCATTGTTTTTATTTGTATATTTAATACCGGTTCATGTAGTTAACTATCAGTTTGTGATGAATATTTCTGGTCCTTGTACCCTCTCGATCACATGTATAATGTAAAATCTCCCGATATTTTAAAGGTGTTGTACGATACGAAATGACTGTTCTGGAAGAAAACAATAAGTTGTTATAGGAAATTAAGGTCCTATAGCACTTTTTATACCGAACTATTATAAAATTTTAAGTTCGATATAGAAAGTCTCTTTTAAGTTCAGTGTCGATTGTATATCTTATTCTTTCTTTAAATTGTTTTTCATTATCTTTGATCATTATACAATTACATTATTATAAGCATAAATATTTACAAATTATCAAAAACTTTGTTTGACACGCGTGTCCATCATTTGAAGATGTTCCATGGAACATGCATATTTGAGCGTATTTACACAACGATACTTCTTAGGACGCGTACAACCAGATACTGAACATATGGGAACGGGTGGTGGATAACTGGAATGATTTTGAGAAACAGTGAATTTATATTAAATGAGAGAAAAGATGATTAATCATGAGTGGTTAATACTTACTTTGGTCCTTTTGAAAATTTAATTGGTATCTCAACGTCAAGTGGAATTGATAGGGTACAACCATCCTTGTTGGAAACATAATGAAATGCAATTGGTATTTGTGAATTCGTACTACTATCATCTTTGTTAATGCTATCAGTTTCATCCTGGTCTTTTGATCGTTTTTTAGATGCTTGTTTCTTTAAAAGACGATTAATTGTGTCCATCTATAGGAAGTAGTATAAAGAAATTGATAATTGAATAATAATAATAATAATAAGAATAATAATAATAAGAATAATAAGAATAAGAATAATAATAATAATAATAATAATAATAATAATAATAATAATAATAATAATAATAATAATAATAATAATAATAATAA